AGAGTCGCATTGTAAATTATTGTTTTATATACCCGTAGAAGTTAGGTACACGTGCTTTTTTATCTTTACACCTCAATCATTTTCTGAATCATTTAGGTACAAATAGGTACTATCTATTTATTAGGTAATTACATTTATATTAAGTCATGAAATGATATGACAGAACCCCATGAGAGAAAAATATTGTGACGACTTACATAATTTTTATACGTATTCACACAATACGGCAAAACAGGATGTCTCAGTGCATTACAATCTACAACTTAATAGAATTAAAATGAAATACTTTCTACGATCAATTATATTTGCTAATGCGCACAACATTACTGGTAGACATTAAAATTAGTCAGTCAAAAATGTCGAACATAAATCAAAACAATAATTCATTAGGAGAGATTAGGAAGCCGTGGGAGCAGCATAAATCCCGGCGTCGCCTCGGCACGGCATCGGCAGTTAGTCAGGCAGCCTCCAATGGAGCGAGCGAGACGTTTATCTCAGAAGCACGGCATGTAACGCACCGCATCGCTTCCCGTGCGCATTAACTTTACGTATATTCCCTCTTATTCATGAGAAATAAATAATACTATTAGAAGGAGATACCGATTCCTGATAAAAAGTGGGCCCCGAGTTAAATGGGAGGCACACTGGAGGCAGAAAGAAAGTAATGGAGGAACGAACCGGTTTGGAGATTTTTACGAATGCAAGGCTGAGAGCGGGGCCCGGCTATGTGCCGCGCCGCGCCGGCACATAACGTAACCCACGGCGGATTCGCGCCGCGACCGCGCGCACACATACCCGCGCCTTGTCTCCTGCGCTCTGCGCCCCGGACCATTATCATCGGCATATAACTGGTAACCGAGTGAGCACATTAGGCTATAAAAATATTTGCTGCACAAACTGCGGTCCGCATTTAAATAATTGTTTGCGCACCTACAAGACGCATCCTTGAGTGTGCGACAACTATTTCAGGAACCTTCGTTGTGACGCGAAGCGAGGAGGCGTACGCGCTTACCATTAGCGCAAACAACTTGCTCGATGGCCGCTAAATCAAGTGAACTAATTTTAACTACCGGCAACGATGGATCGACATTGCGGCAAACATTCATTTCAAATAACGGCTTCGATAAACATGTCACTATCGTTTAGGCCACTATGATTAACTCTGGATCCACTTTTTGCCGAGGAAGGTGATTGAATAGCAAATGAATTTTAACAGGCCAGGTGATATTACCAACAATTTTTGATTTGTTTCAAATCTTTTAAAGTATAATGCATAAGATAACTTAAAACTAAAATTTTTAATACATGTTTGAAATTCTTGCAACTTTTTTTTTTGAACTCGTTGCACCAACTTAAACACGACACTGGATAATGTAAATGCGTTTCAAAAACCATAATTACCATAATTATTTATCAAAATAAAATTACCAAAAAAAATCTCTGATATTCACGAGTAGTCAAGACCACATTTTTATTTTCAAGAAAATCCAGGCGGATTGGTAATTTTTAATCAAAACAGAAATGACATGATATTTCAAACAAACAAAGTATGACATAAGATCAAATCCTAACCTAGCACAAGTTGTGATGATTTGGTAAAGATTAGTATTAATAGCTAATTAGCATAATTGAATTTAAATATTTGTCAGACATTAAATAAAACTGGCCATGGAATGACCAATGAAATGTTCAAAACACTTTCACAACTCGTATCAAGACATTTGATAGGTTTATAATTTTTAAAACAAGTTGGCTTATTGAATCAAAGATTAAATAGTAATCTTTGAGTAATCTTTGACAAAGAGTAGATCCTAGAGTTACATAGTTTCATATAACATTTGTATGATAAACGCATTGATGTTAACTCACTTAACACAATGGCTAACTTCTTGAAAATTTTGTATACACGTGATTTTTGTGATTAAAAATCAATTGATAACACAAATTAATTATTGATTTTTTTCAGTGCTGCTTGTACCAAGTACATTTGGCGTGAACATAAAAAAGCTATTAAGAGTTAGTGAAATCTGGACGTAAGACGAGATTAGTGTGTCGCGTTTCGAAATGACCTACTTCCTACAGGAAATAGTACGAGCGCAATGGCGAATGTTTGTTTGTTTGTCAACATGCGCGCGTGTTTGTTGAGCCATTAGAGCGCGGCGACGGTAAAGGCTGAAACTGGACAAAGCGATGAAACCTGAACTCGACAGAGCGCATTAGCTGATTTATTGTTAAAACCTTTTGGATTTTGTACAAACTTTCGCAACTATCAACTCTTTGGGGGGACATGGAAAGAAAAATTGCTATTCAATTTTTACAGAGGATGAACACAAATTAAAAAAAAAAATAATGAACTTTAAATACAAATACATATTTATAGGATATTGAAACCAATAAAATTTGTAACAACTTTAGTTACTAACCACGAAGCTAAGAAAGTATCAAATTCAAATTTTAAGATTTAGTGAAAAAAAATATTAAAATAAAATGTTGGGCAGTCGCATCGCATACTTGTGTGTTCATAAAACCCACTGCGGTTAGCAAAATGGCCATGGCCAAACGCGGTGAATATCGGCCATTTATGTGTCACAAGACTCAATCATGACACATGAATTAAACTTAGTCAAAAAACATTCACGAAACTTCATCAAACTAGAAACGAATGTAATAAATAATTACAACTAACTTTTTTCTGTGTGGTACTTATTACTTTTAATATTCTAATCTATGTTTAAAAATTATCTACACAATCAAATATACTTGAACTGATTTTGGTTTAAGATAAAAAATATGTCCTTCTGTTACATTTGAAAAGAAATAAATGTGATACAAAGATACACTAGCCATGATACAGTTATAATAAAGTAATAATTAAAATGTACTTTAGATTAAAACTATTATTCTTATTAATGTATTTTAAAAGACTTACTACTAGAAATGTCTAGGTGTTAATTTTTTCTATACTAATGTTATAAAGAGGAAAGCTTTGTATTTTTGTATGTACTGAAATAACTTAAAGACCGATTTTAAAAAGCTACGTTATTACCGAGTAGGCAATTTTTACTATATTTTAAATACATGCCGATGAAATCGCACGCTGTTGCTCATCTATACTAGTATTATAAAGAGGAAAGATTTGTTTTTATGTATGTATTTGATTCACGCAAAAACTACTAGGCCGATTTTAAAAATTCTTTCACCATTAGAAAGGTAATTTATCTATGAGTAACATAGGCTATAATTTTTATTATTTTTAATTCCACGCGTGCGAAATCGCGAGCAACAGCTAGTATACTATAAGGTGTCTTTGGTTAGATAGTCTAGGCCTCGGGACCTACATTTGGTACGTTTTTATATCCTTATTAACAAAAAATATTGATTTATCAGCTTCTATTATTTTTATACTTCTTAGATAACCGATATTTTATTAGATTTACGTTTGTATATAAATACCACATTACAACTATCCGCAGACATTTTCCTACTCGATTCGTTAATCTTCCGTAAAATGAGTGTAAGTATTCTTCAACGATTCGCAAGTACAAACTAAATATTTGACCAGGAAAGTAATGTCAATTTAAGACAAGAATAAACACTAACTATATTGCAAAAAACCAGACAGATATTTTGGATGATTGTCTAGTTTTAAATATATTGTACAAATGCGTACACGCATCTTAAATACCTTATTTGTTCATATAATGCTAGGCTGTATGTCGAAGATCAATATTGACCGAAGTAAAGAAATCCGACAAAGTTTTCGGTACAACGTAATTCCCATATAATGTGTACCTATATCACTTGCATAATACATGTTAATTCTATGACGAAACATTAAACAAGGGCAATATACAAGGGATTTAAGAGTTTACTCCGTATCGAAAATAATTCTATAAAAAATCCTATAAATGAAGATTTTCTTCAATTATAAAAAACACTAACTTAAATAGGGTTTTTTTTTAATTTGCCTAATGGTTAAAACATAAAAAGCACTACCATAAAAGTTGATTGAAATAACAAACATTAACATAATACTGTATTTGTGTCCGTAATAAGTTTATATGCAAAATATACTAAAATCATACAATTGCCTCCAAAGTAAACTAAAGAGCGGGTGTCTCAGCCAAGAAGGACAAAGTTCAAATCGCAAGACTTTTTACAATTAAAATAATAATTCTACATATTAAGACAAAACTTATTTCCCATAATGAAATTTACAAGACTTTTACTCCATAAAATTAAATTTGTTTACCTTTTTAGAAGAAAAAAATGAATCTAATTTGAAAAATTGCATTTACTCTTTTAACCATTAAAAGGGCAAAAAAGCAAAGGTATTTCATGAATATAATGTTACAAAATTATTCGATCTTGGAACTCCTTATTCGAAAGCGGTCCATACAACCACTGAGCGTGCGTCGCTTATATTAATACCTTCTATGCAACCCAGAAAAATTAAGAGATTGATTTGAATGTGCTTAAAGTTTATGCTTATTAAAATTTTAAGGAGCAACATAAAGAATGCACACTACAATGAGGTAAGAGGAGACAATAAGTTTCCCGTAAATTGTCTTTATGCGATGCACAAAACATCGTGAATGACAACGCACGACTTCGGACACCCTCTCCTGCAACTTTACGACGGTCATATATTTACCAAAACCGGCATCAATATTGAAAAGAATTCATCATTCATCCATTAGTCACAGAGACAAAACGTTTGTTGTCGATGGCTGCGTAATTGCCGCGCTACAATCGTAACACTCGCTACGAAGCTACCGTAACGCCCGCAATTTGTCCCCATTGTTCCGCGGATGGTAATGTTTACACCGGCGATTGTCCCAGCCCGCGCACTGAGGACCCGTTTTCAAAACAGAGGACGCCTCATGAAACCCATTGTTTCAACAACGGCCAACTCTCAACCGTCGACCGTCGTCAGTCACACACGGAAACTCGCACGAAAACTTTTTCAATTAAAAACTATAACACTCGTATGCACTTACCTGTGTCATGAGACGGTCGGCGCCTGTGCCCTCGTCGTCCCTGAAGTCGATGTCCGGGTTGTAGTTGGGCACTAAGTCTCTGAACTTTTCGTCGTCCCTGGTGATGCGGCCCTCGGGGGGCCCGCTGGCGGACTTGGAGTTCTCGCCGATGTTAGGGTCGTGCTGGTTGAAGACGAGCGGCGTGATGCGGCGCGGTCCGTGGCGGCGGGTGAAGCCGCGGCCCGGCCCGCACGCCGTCGCCGCGCCCAGCCACAGTAGCACCAGCGGCAGCCTCATCTCGCAGACATCACTCCACGCGCGCTCGACGCACGACCAACGCGCGCCGCGATCAGAGCGACACTGAGCCCGAGAAGCCGGCGCGGCCGCCCGGCTACCACCGGCCCGGCCTGCATCCCCTGGGCGCGCGCCACCGCACCACCCGCGCCACCAACGCCACGGACACCGCGCTCGACGTTCATCTCGCTGCCTAAAAACATTCCATTAGCCAAGCCTTAATTTCTCTCGTGGATTCTTCCACATCTACTTAACGTAGAAAATACTGTGTTCAATTACAAAAGTATCAACTTTAATTTACCTTAGTTAATAGGGTGACATCGATAAGCTATGTTTCCACTCTAAAACATAAATAAATATTTTTCTTTTCAGAGGCCAATGTAAAATCGCAAGAAAATCAATTATTGCACACTCAATTTCACTTGAAGAGATTTAATCTATACTAGTTATTAACACTTTTATATCTTTTATAAATACTGTAAGTTTTTGATTGTTCGATTACATTGACAAAATTACAAACGTCACATACGTCTGCCCGTCAAACTCGGTATACTAAAGAAAATTATTAAAAAAGTAAGGTAACTTAAAAAAATTGTTACCGTCGGTTGTTTAAATAGCTATTCGACTGAGGTAATATTAAGATTCACTTTAAATATAAATAGTTTAACAAAGTCTGTACTAAATTTAAATTTAACACTTTTAATTTGAAATGTATTCGATTGTTTTTTTTTTGTTTTGTTCTTTTTGCCTTATACTTCAACCCTTCGCTTCAACAATAGAAGAAACCGTTTTTAGCTAACTAATTAAGTTTTTTTACGTGTGCGTAAAACTATAAAAACTGCAAATATACTTATAAAAATTATGGGCTATGATTTCTTTTTCACAACATGCCCATCTTTTATCGAACGCAACTAGTTTCTACAAATTTATTTAATAGTAGTTGCAGCCGCGTGGAATTGAAATCGTAAAAACGCCGGTGAAACAAAAGATTAAGTTTTATTTTAATTTAACCGGTGACTAAAATTGTTACATAATTACATTCACCGAAAACTGTTATGCGTAAAAAAACAAGAAAAACCAACCCGTAGTTCTTATGCAAATAAAACATTGAACTGAGCTAAAAGATTGTTAACACAATATTCATGATGCCTTCTACTGATGGTTTTTCCGAACATCATCTATGTACTGAAACGAACACACAATTAACAGCTACATTAGACACACATACATACATAACTGAAAAGTATTTCATGTAATATAGTTACGCTACTTTTCACTATTCCTAGGTCATGTTTAAAGATTTGTACATCGATGGATGTTAAGTGGGGAAACACAATTAGAACTTCAAAACCACGATGTCGCACAAATATGAGGTATTGAGCTGTTAACGATCCATTGTTTGTATTTGTCTGAGTATCCATATAGGTATTAGAGAATATGTTAGCACCGCAGCCTAAAGTCTAGATAAGTGTTTGCAGACAACTGAAACCAATTGTCTCGACAGTGTAACACTTGAGAGATAACGAGAAATTCTATTTCGCAAGTTAATGGTGCATCGAGAGTTGTTTTTTTTGATATTATGGGACCAAATCAAGTAGCAAGTAATTAATTAAAGGAAGCCGTATTACTCACACTCACTTATTTTTTATTTATTACACTGACTATGGGTAGGTACAGTGCGATATATACAAAAGTATGTAGTTGATTTTCAGGAGTATATACGTTTCTGTACCCTACTGTCACTTCACAAAGTACATTTATCACACAAAAAACTGCTGTGTCGCCTGATTTTATCACGTAATGTAAAGTAGTCACATTTGCATTTACATTATTTTCGTAGTGTCGGCGGGGCCCACTCTCTTGCCAAATGTTCAAGTACTAAACATTCTTTTGAATTCAGAAAAGTGTAGATTTAAATACATATTAGTTTATTAGGAAATAGAAATAAATTATATGCAATTTTATTCCTTTACTGTCGGTCATCCTTTGGTACATGCACTTGATAATAAACAAATCAATCTTACTATTCTCACTAGTAATATTATAAATGCGAAAGTTTAGCTGGATGGTTGAATGTTTGTTAAAGTTTGTAGCCTACACGTCTTAACGGACCTCGATGAAATTTGGCATAGACGTGGAGGATAGTCTGGAAGAACATATAGGCTACTGGCTTTTGTTTCTTTTACAATTTCACGCCGACGGAATCGCTGGCGAAAGCAAATTTGTAATAAATCCAATAACATAGGTAATATTCACCATTTTCTTTTAGTTAACTTAAATAGGTAAAGTTTTTTTAAAGTTATTCATCTAAGGTCAAGATACCCATTACTAGATTTACTCTCAAAGAAACAACAGCTCGGCTTCTCTTTCAACTCTGACCTAGAAAATGGTCGCTTTAAGGGAAATTTATATGCACATTTACATAACAGAGACTGCCCGTTTAGGATAATTTGTACGCATTGCGACGAGTTTGCTCGTACAATAAAATGCATGGCGCGCATAATCAGCCCATAAGTCATACGGATTCACGTTTTGTTTTTATCCCAAACACTTGCTTGGGAGATACCAAATGCTGCTATACAACGCTTAATAGCGACATAGCATATTTAGGCAAGTGTGTGTAGTACCTTATAGTACGCTATAATTTTACGCTTACGCTATAATTTTTTAACGAAATCTATGTTCTTACGTAACATGTTATCGCGGTAACCACAACAATCGAACTCGGTTTGCGCAAGCACATCATAGTACAAGCAAATCTGCAACAACACCGCGTAATTCAGTACGCCGACATTAAATTATTGAGTTTTATAGTTTTGACATATAAGTTTGAGTTGTACTATGAATAGTATAATAATATAAGTTTTACTTAAGGTTAGTTCACTTTTACGAATGAATTTCAATCAATCAAAGAGGTGTTGTCAATGTCAAAATGTCAATTAAATTATACCAAAATTTTAATTTTTAATTTATTAAATTAGACAAGACAATTTATTAAATGTTGAAGTTTATTTGTAAAAGTTATTATTTTCAGTAAAAAATTACGAAAACTTATTTATTTTAAATTGTAATTAATAAAAACTTAAAATAACAATAATTCATTTTTCCAAAAATACATACATACGTCTTATTCTAACAGCGTAACCGGTTAACAATTATTATTAAATACGTTTTGTCGAAAACCAGAACAAAGGTTCACAACATTCTTTATCGAATATACCCAGAAGTGACGAACCCATATAGTAATAGTTGTAGATAAAATAAAAAAAGCGTGAATGTCTTGAGCTTGGGAACCAACATTCCGCATTTCCGAACTCTTATCAATGACTTAAACATCTTTTCAACGCTTACTTTAATCCGTTCGAAAACTAAAGGAAACTTTTTTTTACTTCCTCCGCATTGCATTTATCTGTTGCTGCAAAAAATCAAGTCTAAACACCTGCATTTTACGTGTAACTGTTAATAATGAGTAATTAGTAAATGAAAAGGTAGGAAGTGACGTAAGAGTGAGATATAAGGACAACGTTTATGACCTCTTTTTATTTTTTACAGAAAAACCGGCGCCTACGATGATAGCGGCAAACCACTGAGCAAGTGTCCCACTGAACAATAGCCATCATTCACACGCAATAAACTAAGCCAATAAGCGAGGATATTACTGCTTCGGCGATATCACGATATCTATTCATTCATAAATTGCTTATTTAATAACATTCTAGTTAATATTTCTTATCTTTCCTATTTCGTTTTAGATGTTACACAAATAATAACAAACGTGTAAAGGCATTGCGAAATTCCTGAATTGCCTAATTTACTGTGCCCTAAAATTTGTATTTTGATACACGCACATAAAGGAAGTACCTAGGCCTTGTTACGTATAAGCAGAATTATTGTTGAGTAATTTTTAATTACAGAAATTTAAATATAACTTACTTGTTGCTAAACTTTTTCTGTTATTAGTTATAAAAAAGTTTACTTGATTGGCATATTTTAATATTTCTTTTTTAAAAAGCTACGGAACCTAACATGTAAAATAACGCCAGTGATCTGTCAAGCCGCTTAAAGGCAGCCAAAACAAACTATAGCAAGTGTCGCGCCGGCACCTACGACTCTGTGCCAGAGCAAACATTATTTTCGACAAAAGACCGACCGAGGTGTCGGTGGAGACTAATGGAGGAGAGTGCTGAACCAATACGCCCGGCTCTCTAGTGTTTTAAACTGTTTACTCTACCATAAAGCTCTCAAAGCACATACATTCGTCCGGTGGCTCACTCACTATGTAATACTGGACTATTATTGATGAATGGATTCTGTTTGATTTATGTTCGCACACTATACGGTCGCTCTTTAGTCCTCAGTTTTTCATTTAATACTAATATTATAAAGACGAAAGATTTGTATTTATGTCATTTTGTATGTATTGAAGTGACTCAGAAACTTCAGGACCGATTTCAGAAATTCTTGCCCCACTTAAAGATATGTTACCGCTGAGTAAGATAGGCTACATTTTTACTATTCTTTTTTTTAAAAACACGCGGGCGAAGTCGCGAGCAACAGCTAGGTCTTAAAAAAGTAAAACATAGTCGATTTTGTTATCGTATCTAACTGTTTGGACTAATTCACGTTTTATGTATTTTTGCACATCAACCAGAAAAGAAAAAAAAAACGTAATATTAAACATTTTAGAGTAGCTGTCAGATTCCATCACCGTATCATGTTGTGCAAAAGATATAAGAAACATGCCAACAAAAGTTCTCACAACGCGCTTGATGTCCAAAAAAAAGTAAAAAATCCAGACCGGTGACAGGGGCCAGCGTCCGTAGCGCCAGGATACGAGTTCGCTAGTCCTTTGCCGAATACTCTAATCTCATAAACTTTTAAAATGATCACACCTAGTCTATGTCTGGTAGCATTGAAATTATTTTAATAAATACCTCATGTTACAACATTAAAATACTCATTTATAACGCTCATAAAATTTTGGAAATAAAGTGATTTATTATATTAAAATGTATGCAATGAAAACTCTTTTCTGTATAACTTGTAGTTTACAATATTTAACTCGACAGAGACAAAGAAAAAATATTTTTAGTTAATATATAACCATTTGGGTAATAAACCACAATGTTAAAAAAAAACTAAAGTCGTATTGTATGAATTGACTTATTTCAAATTTGTTATGTTTTAAAATTTCTATCGTCTCAAAGTTTCGTCCTTTAAAGCCATAATAAATGGACATTAACTTATAAAGATACAAAGTGTAAAGGAGTCAAACCAGTTCGGATCATGCGTTGCCCTCTAATTGACAAATTGGAATCTTATTAAAATAAAATTCAAGTTCGTAACTGAAGGTAGCGAGGCGCAGGCGCAGGCATACGGCGGCGGACGAATTTCATGTCGACAGGGTCGCCTTCCGAACGGGGGCCGAATACGTCCGAAGTTACCCGACTGGCGCTCGGCGGCAAGAAGAAAAAGTAAGCAGCATTCGAAGCGCGTGCCTCGATGTGTGTGGTCTACTTTGGAGGTCCTCTTCGACTTTTGATTTATTGAAATCTGATTTTCGCACCCTTTTTATTCAATTAAATTGCAGGTGAACCTGAATTAATTTTATGCACACCTTTAACACTATTTTATGGTAAAATGCGGAAGTTTTTAAGTGATAACTCGACTTTATAAAATATTTTTAAGGTTTCTTATTTCAGTTATTTAAGGTTTGCAGTGCAATTATTTTTTAAAAGAAATTTTAATTAAAGTTTTAACACGATCTTTTACATGTAACAGTTTTTTAACGATTTGATATTATTATTAGTATCTAACGTAACAGATACTTTCAACACATTATTTTGGTAACATTTTTACTGTTATTTATGTTATCTCGACATTTAATAAACAAAGAGGACTACTAATAACCAATATCTGCCGGTAATAAGGGATTTAAAATCACACGCATCATTTTACAAAGGTTGTTTAATTTCATTAGAAACAAAACATGTCTAAAAGTTATTCAAATGGAATTAAGTAACCATCGGCTAATCGGTACGTTCTAAATTATTTTCAAACTTGTCATCGGTAATTTTTATATCTAAAGCTGCTGTTTTATTGAAGTCGGTAAATGCGTCGGAATTAATTTCTGGATATCTTGGAATCAGTTCGTAATTGTTCAAATCGTACGTCTCATCAGTATTAGTTTTCCATTTATTCGCTATCATCTGTAAAGGTTTCAAACACTGAAGACTTTGTTTTACTCGAAGTAACTCTATATTGCATTGGTTCTCAACTTCAAGAAGTTTTAGATTAAAAGCTTTTGATAGCATTTGTTTTCGTATTGCGTTTTTCTTTTCTATCTGAGCCATATTTAATGTGTTTTGGTATCGCTGAAGTTGCTTTTCATATTCAATCAAGTTTTCGTCGCAATTTAATCTGCTGTCCATAGCAGCATATGAATTAAGTTCAAGAACTGCACCTTTCCTTGAGTTGATCTTCTCTCGATATCTATTTGTATTTAGTTTATCATCGTCTGACGTACTAGGGTTGATCCTAGTTATATCAGGTTGCGCGGTTTTACTTTCGTTTTCTAATTTAGACTTTTCTTCACTAAGTTCGTGTTTTAATGATTCGATTAAACTTCTACACTGTGCTATTCGTTCTTTCAAATTAGTTTCATTATCATCTATGTCCTTTGGACTTATTTCATTACGACTCATCTGTTTGTTATTCATCTCCTCTATTGCAGATATGTGAGTTTCTTCTCCCGAAGTTCTCGGTGATGCGTGTGTGCTAGATTCGTTTGTATCGCCACTTGCAAGATTGTTACTATCCATTTTAAAGTAAAGTATTTCAAAATTGTAAAATTCGTTTTAATGTTACAAACAAATATGAAGGCTCCCGTCAAATTATGAAAAAATCATATTGCTGCACAAAAAAGTTTACATTTTTACTTTAAGTTTACCTTGTGTAATTGGTAAATCTAAAGTACCTAAAATCTAAAGTAACCTTCTAATTCTGCTAATTTTTCGCGCTCTGCGCTTTCAACTGTAATAGCGATATTCTTAAAAAAAAAACAACTGATTTTAGACTGCAATTTGTTAATCCTTAACAAGCTTCATCAATAACCAAGACAATTAGCGCAGACTGATTTTTGGACGAGACATTTTTTCCTGTCCTGTCCTTAGCTTTTTATGTTAGGTCTACTGAAAACTAAAATTGCTTACAATAAAAAATAAACTTAGAAGTAAATGTTTAAAACATTTGATTTTAAAGAGATGGGACCTGCTTAGCGCGCGCTAACCATCTGAAAAATAAAAACGAATAAGAAGTTCTCCGCTTGTCTTATTATTGAAATGAAATTGTGGTAATTTTGGATCGGTGCGTATTTATAAAATCATTCCAATTATATAGAAATATCAGCAACAGCACATGTGTCATTAGCATCTTTAATTCATATCCCGCGAAAATTAGCAGAATTTATCAAGTGCCAAGGCAAAGGGCAGAAGCTTATAGTCCTTTTCTCTATAGTCAAAGAATAAAACCAGAAACAAGCATTACAAAAAACAATTTTGTTTCGACCATAAACAGAATAAAAAGGAATTGTATTGACTTGTTAAGTCTATGGTTTTGGCGGGAATAATCAAACGTCATTGTCAATTTAAAAGTCAAAAACATACGTTTGATTTTGACGTCGTAACGTATACGATATTTTATTTGTGATTTCTTTGGCGATAGTTCTTATTTAACTATCTGATAAACTTCTGTATTTAGTTTAGTGTAATTTGAGTACCAAATTTTATAATGGGCCTTTTACAATTATGTGAACAGTATTTTAATACGTCTAACCTATACGAAGTTTTTCAAATACCGGAGAAGGCTACAGAAAAAGAAGGTATATACTGTTTGTTTTGAATTTTTGATTAAGACCGTTTCAATTTATTTCCCCCAGAAGTAACGTTATTCATAAGACTCCAAAGCCTGCAACTCATTTCTAATAATTAGATTTGTAAGACCACAAGAAAAAAATTTCAAATTAGATAAACCAACTATAATTCACAAATTTATTTAGTTAAAAGTTAAGACTTAAACTAAGTCCTCCTATTAAACATAGTAAAGGTAATCTTTCACAATATCTGCTTACATTGAAGTTGACTTCATGAATTCTTGAGTGTTTGAATTTATTTTTATAAAATGTTTCAGTCAAAAAAGCATATCATAAGTTATCTCTGAAAATACATCCTGACAGAGTTAGTGAAGATGAGAAACTGGAAGCTACTGAGAAGTTTAAAGTGTTGGGTGCAGTACATGCTATACTCAGTGACAAAGAAAAGAGAACTATCTATGATGAAACAAAGTGTGTTGATGAAGATGATTTAAGTTTTGAACGAGATTGGTCAGTTTATTGGAGAGGATTGTTCAAAACAGTAACTGAAGAAGACATTGTAGCTTATGAAAAGAAATATATTGGTAATGTATTTTTGTTTATTTATTAAGGAAATCTGGTGACATTCACTGCTGGGCCCAATCCGGTAATAATAATGAAGTAACGACCCGAGCCGAGGCTCCTGAGCGAACCCTCGAGCCTAGTTACTCATAAAAGAGGTTTAGGTTAAGCGCCATCTGCGCTCGGCCATCTCAAGCCCGGTGAATCTGTAAATGCCTCTTCAACAGTAACAACTCAGTCACAAAAAAATCACTACTGGGCTTGTCTCATGGTGTTTAAATACAGCATAAACATTAACAAACTGTTAAGCGACTTGGATTTGTTTTTTTTTTAGTTTAGACATATTTAGAGAAAAAAGTTTTTAAACTAAGAGTGGCACACACCTTTGACTAAATTATCGCACAACTGATGTCGCATTTTGATTCCTATGAGCGTATATGGAGGTGTGCACACTACTTGATTTTGAATTGTGCAACCAAACAGTTGAATTGGCTGCAAAACAATCACACAACAGTTGTGCAATAGTTTACTCAAAGATATGTGCCACTTTTGATTTAATTTTTTTTATTAATACTATAAATTATGTTCTGATCCAATGTCCTTTATATCATTTTCATTTCAATGCTGAACAAATTGAGGATCTCTACCTTGTTCAGCCAAAAAAAGCATCATAGGCATAGGTTTCTAGCACATTCTGCAACTTAATAAATATTATTCAATAAGTAACCAATTTTCTTAACATACAGTGTGTATTTTAATTCTAATATCTTATATCTGTGCAGGTTCTGAAGAAGAAAAAGATGACTTAAAAAAATTATATGTAGATGGAAAAGGTGATATGGACTATATTCTTGATCAGTATCAGTTTGATCGATTAGAACATGAATCTAGGATCAGAGAAATTCTTACAGTAAGTAAATTAAAAGATTGCTGTTATAGACAACTAACTCTATGGTTTAAAATCATTATGGTTCATTATAGATATGGATATTTTTTATAAGATGGGGTAAAATTTAAGATAGAATTAATAAAGATCAGGAACTCTACTTTAAGCACACCATCTTTTAATTATAGTATATATAAAATAATTAAGTTTTAAACTCGAGTGTTTGAAATAGTATAAGATAATGCACTTAACCTGTCTTTTTAGGAAATGATTGAAAAGGAAGAAATTCCATCATACAAAAAATTCACACATGAGTCAACCAAAAAGCGTCAGAAGAGAACTGCGAAAATAAAGAAGGAAGAAAAAGAAGCAGAGGAATTGAAATCTGAATTAGGTTTAGGTTCAGGTATAAATTTAATATATTTCAATCATTTATGGCTCTTACTCCTACACTTAGCAATCACTTAGACTCTAAGCACAACTATTGAATCATAGATAATCAGATGTTTCATGTGAAAATAAATAACCTTTTTTCTTGTATATCAAGTGTAGACAAAAATAATTATAGCCATCCATTCTAGTGGCATTTTTTTATCATGTATAAACCAATGCTTGACACTATGACCAAAGTGAAGATGTTGTTGAAGGATGGAATTTTGTTTACCAGTTTTACTGAATAGTAGATAATATGTTGATGTTTTATCATTTTGCTTATTTAATAATCACTTTACACTTTATTTAGGTAAAAACAGTTTGGAAGAATTGATCAAACAACGACAACAATCAAGATCATTAGAAATGGATTCCTTGATTGACGACATCGCAGCTAAGTATGGTGGCAAAAAGACTAAAGCGACTAAACGTAAATCACCATCAGACGCAAAAGGTTCAAAAAGGAAAAGAAAGAATTAACAAAATATTTAACTTCCAATGTTTTAAAATAATTTAATTATTATTACATTCTGTAATTTATTTCAATTAAAACATAAGCCATGTTAAACAAAGTACAATATAGAAATCAGTCCCCTTCCTCCATTGCGACTTGTAAATTAGTTTCCATATAAAACGGACCATCCTCAACATATTTTTGTAATCTTGTCAGAATATTGGATTCAAATGCAGATGATCGTGCCAATCTTTTAATTATGTCGTATCTTGCTTCTTTTGTCTCCTTTGTATCACTTACAGACCTATCTAGAAGGTACTCTACAAAACCTAAAAATAATAAATAAACAATTTGTGTATACAAATGAATGTTAAATTTAGAATGTATCAGTGATAACAATGTGATAAATTTCGAACCTCTCATATGTAATGTAAAATAAGCAAACCACATACAGAATTTTAAAGTGCCCTGCAAAGTTCATAAAGCTGGTTAACTTTTTTTTTAATAAATTTTAAAATACGAAATGTTTATGCATTTTTCTTCAATATCATCATCTTAGCTATAAGTGAAATTTCAAATTTCATAACTACCTGCAACTCTTGCGACTTCCTGTTCACCCCACATATGTTGACAGACCGCATCAAGCAGAATAAATGCAGCTAATTTGATATCGGGAAAAGGATTTTTGACCATCTCAAACAGAAACTCCATCGATCCATTAGGTTTATTAAGACTTCTAAACCATTCCCTCGTCATTAATGTTACTCTATGGTCAATAGGATTAGATTTTGCTTTATCCCTTTCCACATTAATTAAACTGGCTAAACAATTTAATGCTCTAATTTTTATTTCAGTAACATTATTTTTTATCAAATCTCCAACTTTATCTACTGCTTGAATAAACTGACCCCCTGTAACAATATCTGTATAAGTTATTGCCCAATATTTGGTTATGGTTTAATTTCACTTGCAATCTTTGGTTAACGTCCATGTTGTCCACTGTTATTAGTATTAAAATCATGATTTATTGCAAAAATAACCTTTTTAACTAGTTTTACAAACTGTAGATTGAGTATTATAAACATGACTCCAGTTAAAGTTGTTTTTTATATTTTTTTTTGTGTTTGATTAATGTTACACTGTCTTACCAACTGCAGCCAGGCATAATTTTCCTTCAATGGTAGTGCCAATGAAACCTAATGTATCCAAAGCCACTGGCAATACCACTGACTGGTCACTGGAGTCAATTGCCTCAAATAAACTATTCAAAAATACTGGATACTTGGCAAATATTTCTCTTGGATAATGATGCGCAATACTTCCAAAGAACTTCAAATAGCCTGTAAAAGGTTATTAGTTAAACAATAGTTTAGTAAATCCATACTAATATTATAAAGAAGAAAAATTTGTTTTTTTTTTGTTTGTATTTGATTCACACAAAAACTACTGTAAAGAAATTTAAAAATTCTTTCACCATTAGAAAGGTAATTTTGTATTAATATTTCAATAAACAAGGGTGAAATTGTGTAATATATATTAATTTAAATAAAATTTGTCACAGATGTAGAATACGGTCTGGAAGAAATATTATGCTATTTATTAAGTTTCTTCTATTCCACAGGGCTTAAGTAGCAGGCAAAAGCTGTTTCTTGAATAAGTTAAGTTAAAAATTACCTGGTAACATAAGCCCACTAAGAGGATTCCTTTGAACATCTCCAATTAATGAGGCAGTTTTATCCAAACCACCTTCTTTAACTAAATAATGAATACCATAAGGTTTGACAGCAAACCTAGACAACAATTCAAGAATATTGAGCTGATATAAAATATCATCTGTGCTGAGTTCTGATATCATGTGATCAATATATCCATGTTCAACACATAAGGTAAATAACTCTGGTGATTTCATGGCTATATTGCAGACAACCTGAAAATAAAAAATGCTTCAATAAATTCTTACACATAAATTAGAGCTACATATGAAAGTGAATGAGAAAAAGTTCTAATGTCTGTATATGAAAAATATGTAAAAAGCTGTTGTCCACAACTTCGTCCGCATGGTATTAGAAAACATATGAACTATAAGAGTAACAAAAAGCTATGTATCCTTCGGGAACCGCACATTTCTCGGGGATGAACCTTATCCCATGTGTACTCCAGACTTTGTTTTATATCTGTACCAAATTTTAATAAGATATGTTGGACCGTGGCAGTGATTGAGTTAACATTAAAAAACTAAATTAATGAATTCCACGGAACAATGTAGCTATTCCCAGAATACATAGTAGCCTATGTGTTCTTCCAGACTATGCTCTAAACCTGTGCCATATTTCATGGAGATTCATTCAGCTGTTTAGGCTACAAATGCTAACATACATTCATCCATCGATCATAACTTTCGCATTAATAATATTTTTATGATGTGATATGAATCAAAAAACTTATAAAGAAAAAAAAAACACATGAAATATACCTCATAAGCATGACATTTAGAGCTACTGTTTTCATCCAAAGCAATTTTCATTTCTTCTAATATTTTAGGGTATACTTCAGGTGGCAAATCTGATGTAATAGTTACTGCTTTGGTGGCAACACCTACATCTTTATCACAAATCAGTTGTGCCACAGCTACAAACACATCTATGTGTTGAGCAACTGGAAATGATGATTGATCAGTTTTTACTGACTTGAACACCTGAAAGTATATTGAAATGTTATTTAATACATCTTCATTTCAATATAAAAAAAACCTTTTCATTACCTCATCAACAGCTAGTCTCCTGACGCAGTCTTTATCGTGGCGAAGTAAGTACATAATATGGCCAGTGAAATGTTTTATTACATCTCCTGCACCAAATTTGTCGAAACATATTTTTAGGACTTCGCAAGTTAAATCTACGTTAGCCCTGTAAATATTTGAAATGTTGGTTGTTAATCTGAATTATCAAAGTTTTACACAAATCCTAGATGACTTACTTATCTTGAACATCTAGGCACCGAATTATATTCGACACACCAAGGCAGGTCAGGGTGTTCTTAGCATTAGAAGGTGGTTTAAAACTAAACATGTTTTTAATATCATTTAAAATTGGTTTTATGTCATTTTCTGTTTGAAGTTTTGTGACGAAATTATGAAATAGCTCACGGTCTTCGTTCGGCATAATCAAGCACAATTTGCACAAAACTGAATTTAAAGTTTGTTGAAAAGAAAACAAAAACGGATTTAAATAAATGTCAAAACAAATCCTACAGATAAAATCGCAGTGACTTTTGATTTTTGTGACTTTGTCCGTATAGATTATTAACTATAAATTATACCATGAAGAGAATTTTAAGAAATATATTTTTGTATCTCTTTGACCATGAATAAGTAAAAAAAACTTGTTAGCCAATTCTATAAGATATAAAAGTACAGGTATCATGTAACGACTCCATATAACCCAGAGGAATAGACAGGAGGGACACTTTCTTGCACGTTTCCATTAGATTTTAATAGGTATATTTCTACTTTAAAAATCAATTAATTATAATCAATTTATTGAGTTTATGCCCTGATTTCATATTTTCTGATTGTTAGAAAAATCATCTAGGCTACTAAAATAGAAAAAGGTAACCCTTTACTCACCTATGTATGTACGTGGACTAATTATATAGCAATTTTTCTTCATAAAATGGCATATGAAAAAAGTAATAAAACAACGTTTCTTAACTATTATATATTACAGAAACATGGGATCAGACATTTTACAATACATCAGCTATATGACTTTTTAGCTCGCCAGTCCAAAAATTCATCAATGTCTACATCATTTTCTGAATCATTTTCATCTTCACTCATCAATTCCACATCTTGCTTCTTATTCTTCGTTTCTTCTTTTTTTAGCTCCAAATCAAGAACTCTGCAAAATTAAAAGTCCTAAAATTTTACCATTTAGATTTAATGCCCATGACAGGCTTGTGCGAACTTTTGGTTATAGTTTGAGCATGTTTCACAGAATCTGTAAGATTATAATTACAATATAATCATTATGATTGTTTCTACCTTGACCAATTTCGGATTTGTTCGTCAATTTCATCGATTTGTCTTTCCGCCGTTGCTTCTTCTTGTTCACCGGCTATAATTTCGGCGGAAGTTGTAGTTTCTTCTTTGATTTCCTTTTGAAATTTCTCCCACTCTTCCTCTACAGGATCTTTATACTCAATGTTTCTGACCTGGAAGATAACAAAGCTTTTTTACTATAACAATAATAACTTATGTAATATATAATATTAGACAGAAGTGGATAAATTATTGTTCTTTTGATAAATTAACAACTAACACCTTAACTATGTTACATATTTTTTTGGCAGTAAGTCTGTGTAAGTTACTAAATTCAAATAAAAAAAACTACTGTCAGTTTCAAATGACTTAAGAGTGTTGATGTTGACATATGTCATAAAATGGCAAAAATAAAATGATAAGATAACAATTGTTTGGTAAAACTAGTAATGTTATTACTAAATTAACACAATAACATAGCTGAGCAAAGCAAATTACGCATGTTGTTTTAACGAATTACTATATTTTTCTAATCAAATTAGAAGCAAATGTTTATGAATAATCTATTGACTAATAGAAAACGACTGTTTATTTTTGTTAAATATAACTGTAGTATGTTATCCACAATGGAAAAGTCAAGTATGATACAAAAGGTGAAATCGTGCATTCCTCCTTTAGATGGTAATAGTCATAAAGGTCAGTCTGGCAGAATAGGCATTATTGGCGGCTCCTTAGAGTATACTGGCGCACCATATTTTGCTGGTATTAGTGCTTTAAAGGTAACAACACCATTACATTAACTACATGAATTTTTAATTAAAGTGTGAATAATCCTATTTATATTTTTGTAACCATTATTTAATTGGATCAACTTGAATTATAGGTTGGTGCTGACTTAGTGCACATCTTCTGTGCATCCTCAGCAGCTACTGTCATAAAATCTTACAGTCCAGAGTTAATAGTTCACCCACTTTTGGACCATCCAAATGCAGTCAATGACATATCTCCTTGGCTAGACAGATTGCATGCTATTGTCATTGGACCAGGACTAGGCAGAGATAATAAAACATTAGAAGTTGTATCAGAGTTGATTAAAACAATAAACACAAAAAACATACCTCTTGTGATAGATGCGGATGGTTTATTTTTAATAACTCAAAATTTAGATTTGATCAGAAATTTCAAATCATCAGTGATATTAACTCCAAATAAGATTGAATTTGAAAGATTATGTGAGAAAGTAAATGGGTATTCTGAGCTAAATAAGCTAGGAGAAAATATTGTAGTATTTAAAAAAGGTCAAACGGATGAAATTTTTTGTGCTAGTAACATTGCTCAATGGAAATCAAATGAGGGTGGATCTGGTCGTAGATGTGGTGGCCAAGGAGATATACTTTCGGGGTCTATTGCAACATTTTTACACTGGATGATCAGTAATGGAGACAAATTAAATATGTCACCAGCTGACAAATGTATGACTTCCTCAATATCATGCTATGCTGCTTCCATATTAGTGAGAAAATGCAATGAAAAGGCATTTAGTATCTATGGACGCAGTATGGTAGCCGGTGATATGATTGGATTTATACATGAAGCATTTCAAGAACTTTATGGAGAATAAAAATATTCCAAATATATTTTTTTCATAACTTCATACTTTGTTATTAAATCTGTTAGTAAATAAAATGGTGATTATTTAAATGCTGTTCAAGAAATGTATAGCAATTTTTATTGTTTTAAAATCAAAAGGGAGTGGATATTTTTTTTTACATAAATATATAACCAATGCTAGGTCTCAAATTGTAATTTGACTGACTCACTTGGTTGTTTATTATTTAGTTTTGTAAGCTAAAGTTTGATATAGAATTGTAATAAACTTTATGAATAATTCAATCAACAAATTAGTTTTATTTTTACAAATCTTTTTGCTGTTATCACAATTTTAATGTAAAACTTAATAATATCCAAAACTAAATTTAAAACATTAACATTCTCTATATTTGTCGTTTTTGTATTTCCTGACTAATGTGAAGACTATCCCTTATTAATTTAAACATTTACTGATTGGAATTTTTCTATTGGATTTACAATGAATGCTACGTAATTGTAGTGTTGATAAGGTTTAAACATTATTTTATTAATATTTTTTACATATAAGAATTTATAACAATGAATGAAGTATGCAAATTATTTCTTACCTTTGCATCTAAAATAGGGTCATCAAAAAATCCTTCAGGGATTGGTTGATCACTGCCTTCCTGGGATTTTGAATCTTCTTTTGCTGTATCTGAGTTTGACATTACTTCTTTACTTGTACCTTAAATGAAAAACATTTTATTACTGTTTATCAAAACTAGGTATCAAGAGAAATGGATCTGTAACTTTGTTATAAATATATAAGAAAGTTTAACAGTTATATGACATGTAACTTAAATATTCAAAGTGAAGACAAATGATTTACTTTCTTTAATATTAGGGTCTAAAATAGTCCTTTTAATTTCTTCATTATGAAAAGTTACTATTGTAGGGGCATTGTTTTTTGGTTTAGCAGTTTGTATAACTGGATTTCCAGTGGTATTTTTTAGAATTCCCTTTAATTTCTTCTCCTGTGGTGGATCTCCTAATGATGTATTTGGCCTCTTTTTAATTTTTTTGTCTGTGAAATTATTTGTTAGTTCTTTTAACTTCTTTGCTTGTTCAACATTTTCTCTGTGCTGTTTACTGTTTACATGAACTTGCCACACATTTTCAGACCGCACTATAGAAGAACACAATACACACATAAGCTGTCCAGCATTATTGTATTTAGCAAGGGGGTTGTTTATTTTTATTGGCTTTTTATCTTTGTTTTTACGGTCTGCCATTAATTTGCGCATTTCTTCTAAAGCCTTTTTCTTTTCAACTTCTAATCGTAACGACATGGTAAATTGTTGTTATTGTAAATGTTATAATAGATAAAATAATAATTTCTTGGTAAAACGTGAATTTGATTTATTATTCAACGAACGACATTGACAATTGATGACAATAACAAATTGACAATTGACAAGTCTTTCTGCGTTGACAGTTGAGAGCTTGAGGGAAGTTGGAAGTGAGTTTTTAAAGAAAGAAGGAGAAGAAATGTCTATGGGTGCATATTACAAGATTTTAACAATTTAAAGATAAATCTTTAGAGGTAAACCGATTTATTTTATCTTTAATTTAAATTAAGTAAAGGCTCGGCCTTTAAATATTCGTTAAATTGATGATGAAAAAAAAAAACATTTATGTTAAATGTAAAATTCTGCAAGAAAAAGACGAAACTATTATGTTAACAGGAAAAATACGCGTTTTATAAAGTAAATATATTTATTTATCAACACTTAATTTAATGAAGCAATAAATTAATAATAGAAAAGATACGTTATGATCGTTGTGTATGTAGGGCACTTATTTAACGGCCATGCTTTTTTGTAAATTCAAATCTTACCATAGAGTACATTTTTCGAGCTATTTTGTCATTTTGATGGAGGTTGAATTCTGATTTGGTGCTTCAGTTGGTAACAGTCACGACAATTTCTTGGATTTAACAGCTGAATCCCAATGATTACAAAATAATTTTAGCTATATTGTGTCTATATTACTGCTTTAGTAAACACGGACTGCGTTTGAGTGATTAACAAACATTCAGTTTAGCCTCTAAAGCTGTTTCGGAAATCACGTATTTGTGTTCAGTTTTTCAGTGTTTATTCCTGATGTTCTGATATTTGGCTATATTCTGATTCCTATTATGGATATTGACGTCAGTAAGGAGAATATACAACCTTTAAGAGGTGGTAGAAACCCTCAACAGTTGGGGACTGCATTGCAAGCTCAGTCGGATGTTGACGCTCAAAGGCAGCTTCAATTACAAAAAGAGTGAGTATTAATCCCTTCTATATCTATATCCCAGCTTAATACACCTTGCTTACATCTCAATATACTTAAAAACATTAAGGACACATACTTAAGCTAAGTAATTTTAAATAAGCTCCAATTCATTTGCTAAGCTTCATGTTGCTTTAATTATTTATTTTATTAACCCTTATGGTTTAAAGATGGCAATAAAGGTGATTTGAGTATTGTTTGTACATATTTTTATTAGGGAACATGAAGCAGCTATCAGGCAGTACCAAGGCACGGATCCTTTGGATCCATGGTTTAATTACATCCAATGGGTTGAACAATCCTTTCCAAAGCATGGCCACGAGGGTCATATAGATAAACTAATAAAAGACTGCTTGCAATTATTTGAAAAAGATGAAAGGTATTATCAAGACAGGAGACTTGTAAAGCTGTGGATTAAATATGTGAGCAGGTTTTTTTTAATTTCGAATATATCCTCAGAATCATTTAAAATACTTTATTTCTCTGATATTATCTTTTTTATAATGTTTTGTAATCTGAAAAAAGGTATGAAAAGCTTTCCATTATTTATTGATAAGATATGGTTTCATTCATAAATACATATTACAGCATTATTAAATTTTCTTGCAATAGTCAATAGATTTAATAAATAGTTCAGTATGTTTAAAGGACTGTACTCCTTACATTCGTAACTTCTTACATTTAAAATGTCTTTTTTAAAGATTTTTTTAGTATGTATATTTCTAACTAAATTCATATTTTTTTATTAATCTGTTTTTGAATACAGTTGACTAAAATTCCATGCATTGCATGTATTAAATGCACTATCTTTGATCATTTAAAAGTTTCACAATAATTCTTGCAATTTCATATCTAAAGATTTGATTCCTATAAAATGAGAATTGGTATATTATTTTGATGAATGTTTATAATTTAAACATATTAATAACATTTTAAGGTGGACTGTTTATCAAATCCTTTGGAGATATACCAAAGGTTGTACAATACAGGAATAGGTGTGGAATGCTCAGAGTTTTACCGTGCATGGGCTTGTTACTGTGAAGAGTCTGGTGATTTTAAGAAAGCTAATCAGGTGTATATGTTAGGTCTACAAGCTAAGGCACAGCCATTGGATGAACTTGAACAAGCACATATGTAAGTATAACAGATTTTATTTATTAATCTAATTAATGTAGGTTACAATGCTATTATGTAATGTATAGTAAGTCTATTTACCAAGTTAACCTTGATACTTGATATTTATTGTTTGGTTTATAAGTTGTTTTTAATTTACATTTAACTACTCTCTTTTTAATTCTTGCATTTGTTTTTTTTTAATATATGTAAATAGGAATATGCCAAGCTAAAACTAAGGTGTAGTAACTATTGAAAAAACTTAATAGCTAACTAAACTTAATAGCTAGGTTTATTCTACTCTGCAAGATTTCTGAAGATTTCATGAACTCAGTTTGACCTAAAAATTTAACATTAAGTAAATTATGAGTTATGCAAAATTCAATCACTGACTTAGCATTATTTGTCTATATAAAAAATTTGGGCAGTAGATTATGATTTACCTTTTATGTAAATCATTATAATTAATACTTCTGTTTAGATCAAGATGTAGACTAAATATTTAGTCTATAATTATGAAAAAAGATATGTTTAATTTTTATCAATTTTTATCTGTACTAATATTGTAAAGAGGAAAGTCTTGTATTTTTGTGTGTACTGGAATAAAAACTACTGACCCGATTTCAAAAATTCTTACACCATTAAAAAGCTATATTGTCAGTGAGTAATAAGTTGTATTTTTATTATTTAATTATTTAAGCAACAGCTAGTATTAGGAAAAAGATAAAAAGTATGAGAGGTGTGTAACTAAGTATTTTATTTCTAGGAATTTCCAATTGTTTTTCGCCCAAAGAATGTTGCATGATGATTCCCCAACTAAAAGGAAGGCAGCATCTGCTCTTGCTGAGACAAGGATGGCGCTGACGTCACTGAAATCATTCAAGAGACGTAATATCGCCAATGCTCCAGTTCACAGAATAGGAGATAGTGTTAGAAGTGGTATACCTGGTGTTGTAAGACAAACTGGTAACTCTGAAAAAAGGCATCACGGATCAAATGTTATGGTGAATGTGTATGAGGTAAATATTGAAGAATTAATACCTTTTTTAAAGAAAAAAATTTTGTTTCTTTGTTATTTAAAGTTCTATTAGTGGACTTACAAACTGACAGTTTATTAGCATCGTAAAACATTTCTGCGATTTGTTTTATAAGTTACATGTAAACACTTGTATAAATATAAGGGTGTTAATGAAATAAGGGAAGAAGTAAGGTTGATTTTGGTTTAGAATTGATTTTATTTAAGCTATTCATATTAATCCATATTGTTCATAATTAATCTACTTATTATAGCTTAATTATTGGGAAGTTATTTCAAATTACATATTTTTATTAGGATGCTCCTTCCACATCACATGCAGTTCCCGTCGCGGAAGACCCGGGACCAGCCTCTATAGTTCAAACTTGTTGTAATGTTGAAAATGAGAAAGAAGTTGGAGTCTGGACTAACCCTAAAACTAAAATGGTACATACTCATGTTGTGCCAAATCATCCTCTTCCATTTACTCGTAAGTAATCATTTTTATTTGTTTTCAATGTCTTTAAAGGAACATATTCAGTCTCTTATTCGATTAGGATGTATATATATCTTTACCAAGAATATAAAAATCCTTGCCTTAAGGGCGCTTAAATTGTCTTCTCTATAGCATCAGTTTTTAAGGTATACAAAGAAATTAGTTCTACATTTTTTTTGTAATATGATTGGGGTTTATTCCTAGTCAGGCTATACAGTGGGTATCAGTATGTCCAGAAACTTGTTAACTATCTTGTAAAGTAAATTTTAAGATAAGCAAAGTTCAGAGGGGTTTTTAAATATTTTACGTTAGAAGAATGAGACAAAAGAAGCTAACTTGAGTATTTAAGTCAGAACTCTTGTCTGTTTTTAATGGAATTATTTTGCAATAGTGTATTATCTTAATTTTAATTGAATTTAAACTTTACACAGCTTATGAAGATGAGGATGATGTGTTGAAACTGTCAGCGAACCACTTGCCTTATTGTGTGGACGACTTGACATTTAATGTGCCTCTCTGTGTACCTGACCCTGTGGACCCTACTAAAATACCTTGTTACAATAAGACACAGGTAATTTTACAAATTTTTTATGCAAAATGAAGTGTCAATAGCCTAATGGTTTCGGATACTGCCGATCTTGCGGTCGAGGATTCGAATCCCGCCATTTGACTGTTGTCGTTAACTATATCTTAGCACAAGCCTAGAGCTTGTTATTATCATTAAAAAAAAATTGTGAGGTCTGGGATCCAATGATTTTCAAGTAATAGATGTTATGTATAAGCTTAAAGTAACCTCTAAAATGTTTTGCCTGTTTAGTCATATTTATATCTTATAATTTATTAAGGGTTACTAAATTATTTTATGTTTTGTGTGAAAATTTTATAAGCAGCAATGTTTTGTAATGTCCTGGGACAATTAGATTAATAAAACTACTTGAAGAAAAAACTTGATGACAGCAATTATGTATAGAAATAATGTATGATGTATATTTGTTATACGCCATTTATGGCTAAGTACTGAAACGACATTTAAATGTAATTAGTAGTGTCTTAAGTGATAAAGCTCTTAAATTCATAATTATATTAAAATATTGATAAATGCAAGGTGGGATCAATGATTCGTTTCAGTTTTGGCCGTTAACAAAATTAATTGTTTTGCAGGTTTATGTTAATGATATAGAATACAGTTTAGAAGAAATTAGATCTAGGAAGTACAATCTAGAAAGAAAAATTAAGTCTGAAAATGTAGAAAGTGTTGAAACACAACAAAGTTACAATGTAAATGAGGCTCTCGCACAATGCAGTGCTTTAGAAACTTTAGCAAACTGTGCCTTAGATACTGAACAGGAACATTTAGGACAACTAATGCCATTATCAATACCGTCTCTACAAAATGTCACTAAAGTGAATAATATGCATTCGCCGGGAGAACCCAAAGTTTTAGTCAATCTGGATTCAAAAGAATTAAGTGAACATGCAGCGAAAAGAAATGA